TCTTCTTCGTCTTCATTGTCGTTCTCCCATAGATTATTATCGTCATCATTAAACAATGGCTGGAAAATAAAACAAAAACTTTACGATTGATTTATTTGTGCAAAAACATCTAGTGAAATAAAATTTCCATTCGATAAAAAAAAAAAACTTGGATTATTTCAAAAGAAAAGGTTTCTTTGTTTTTGAGAAGTTACTTTTATACAATAGTATAATAATAATAACTATTATTACAATTGGCTATTTTCAAGATCCTAACTGATTTTATTCTGATATACAAGAAAGTCTTTGACTTAAATTCAGGTTATTAGGTTAATGAGATTAGAGAAGGACTCAAATAAATATGTTTTTGTAAATAAATGAAAGTATACTCTATGATCAATATACAGTAACTGATACGCTTGATAGCGTTTGTTACATTACCTTAGCCGCTTCAATATAACGTTTTTTGACAATATTAATATCGAAATATGTATTATTAGAATGAATATCAATATTTAATTGTTTAAGTTCATCTAAACTTCGTTGTATATTATCTAATTTACTTCTCATTTCTTTTAAATCATCGACATGAATTTGTTTTTGTTTTAAGACTTTATTTAATTGTTTCATTAGATTATCTTTCAATTGTTTTTCTTGTTCATTTTTATATGTATCAAATTCCATATCTGATTGTAAACATAAAATTTGAATTTGTTTTTTTTTTTCAGCATAAATTTTATTAACTAAATTTATTTGTTGATTATGCCATTCATCTAATTGTTTAAATAAATATTCACGATGATTAGTAGAATCAAATAATAAATTATCTAAATCCATACGAACACGGTCTATGTCATTGCATAGAGTATACAATTCAGAACGAAGTAATTCTTGATGATAATTTAAATGTTTAAGACACAATTGTAATTGACAATGTGGACAAAGTATATAATCGTTTGATGTACATTGATTTCCATCTATATCTGAATGTTGACAAAGATTTCGAGCTGAAGCCATTATGATAATATTATTTAGAGAAAATAAAAATTGTCATTGAATATGAAATAAAGTTAGTGAGCAAGTATTGTGAGACAAAAGAAAACAGAACGAAAGAAAAAAGTAATAAAAGAAAGAAGAAAAAAAGGAAAAAAAAAAGAACCCCTACAAGTATTAAAAGCATCATAATGACGAAAAACTTTTTATAAACATGAAAACTTGAATTGAGACCCAAATTGATATCTTTTAAAAAGATGATAGAAATCATGTTCTTTGAGAAAAACAACTATTCTTATTCAAATACAATCAGACTTCAAATAGATCAATTCAGTTATTATAAATAAAAACATCCATCAACTTGATAATTTTGACTGAAATTCATTAAACATACAAAGAAAGAACAATCAATGAATGCTTTATGTTTCGTTATCAAATATTTTATATCGTTAAATCAAATGAGTTTATCAATACGTTTTAGAAAGCTTAGTTTTGTAGATGGCGCGCTAAGGATTAGAAAAATGGGTTTTATAATTGTAATTTATCTAATATCCAATGTCAACATGTCTTTCTATAGCGAATTTATGTTATCTTTTAAACAAACTTGATAATTTTATTAGAATTTGCTAATATTTTCGTCTAGCAGAAAAAAACCTTAGAAGTTTGCATACGTTCCAAAAATTTTTCGATTTTATTGTATGACACTACACAATAGCTTCATAGTCACGTGGATAAAATTTTATTGAGTCATTCATAGAAAAAATAAATGTTTTTTTTGTTACACATAACAATAGGTAACTGGTTGATATGTTGGACTTTTTAGAACATTTTAAAATTTAGAGAATGATTCATTATATACTCGAAAATTCAGAAAGATGAATAGTCTTCATGTATGTCTTAAGTTTGGTGCAACATGGATTAGTGACCTAGAGAACAAATAGTTAGAAAATTCAGGTTTAAGTTGCAAAAAAAAAGACAGTCTGATCGGATTTAAAATAAAAATAACTAGACGTCCCAATTCATTATCTAAACTATAATTGTTTTATACCGTTATGAACGATATGATAAAATGCAATATTTATTTTCATTAGTCTATTGTAAATCTTTATTTTTTAAAAGATGAAGCAAGTAAATTTGAATACATTTGTTCATTTTCAAAGAACATATACATTTCGTAATGCTTTATTTTCAAAACAATACTATTTTCATTGTCGATTCGATCCGTTTTATTTAGGAACGCTTATACTTCGTTATAGCTAATAGAATTACGTGCTGTCTACTATTGATAAAATATGGTCGAAAACAAACAAGATTCACATATAATCTAGTATTAAATTACATCATGTTTAGACTATAATCAGAATCTGTAACCTATTCAAATTATGTCGCATCTAGAATATGTCGTGAACTATTTATTCATCATGCGTAGTTCCTGTTTTTTATGTTCTGCATAGTAAAAAAACAGCATGTTTGTTATACTAAATTTAAATTTTTTTTTTCCAATATTAGTTTTGTTTTTATTGATGTTTACGAATATGTCGAAAAATTGATGATTGAAATAGCAGTATTCAAAAGAAAATCTATAATAACTGAACCCGTTTGCAATAATTAGATCTCAGTATTTCATGTTTAATAAATCAAAGAAAAAGATAAAAATATTAAAAATATTTAATCAAAATCAAAAGTCATTAAATATGTACTTTTTTCATAAAAACTAGATAAAAGAAAGATAAATGCGACATTCTAACCAAATATCTGGAATGTGCCACATCACAGCTGGATCCAATATGCTTCTATGATGCGAACTTCATGTCATATCTCATGTCATAAACTACGACACATGGAATATATTTAATAGATGAAGGTGCACTATAAAAAAAAAAAGCCAATGAGTAGTTCTTTTCGTTCTGTATGTGAATGACGAATATAAAAAACAAAACGAAATTCTCACTAGAAAAATTCATAATATTATGAATCAACCAATATTAAACAATCGTACTTTTTCACACATACGTTTTGAAAAATAATAATAATAATAATAATTAAAAAATTAATTGAAAACAAGGCGAAACGATATTGTTTGCTCGAAATATTCATTATAATTTATGGTAAAAGTTGGTGGTCTGTATTAAATTATTTCTGTGCCAAGAATAAATAAACATATCCAACATATGTAAGCATGATGTATTGACTTGTATGCTTTGATGAGTTTGATCCATCTATCTATCATACAGTAATCACAAGAAGTCCAGCTATCGAGTATAAACTACACAAATTTCAATCTTTTTACCTAGAAATAAATCTAGGTAAACGTTGATTACAGGCAGCAACCAGAAATCGATAGGTTTTACTGCCAAATATTTACAATGAAAATACTGTTATTTTCCTAAAGCTTAACAAAGACTTTTTTGATAGTTTTCTGATTTTTCACTATTTAAATGCATTAACCTCAGTTTTCTTATTAATAAATAAAGATTTGCATGTTTATACTGTATCAACATAAGATGAAGACAAATGGTTACAATTAGCCGAAAATATTGGTCACTTTTCGACGATTCTCATCAACTGTTATGTATGAATTATTCAAAGAATACTTCATAAATCAAACAAACTAAAATCATTTGACATGAAATTTCTCTTTTTATGTTGAGATGTTCTCGCTTGAAGAAAAAATCTATTTTGACCTACTAGAGAAATGTGAGACTGATTTGATAAAACAAAAAAATAGTATTATCAATGATATTTGTCTCTTTTCAAAATACTAATATGCATGAGAAGTTTTGATTTTACTTGGTAATAATTTTTATTGTTACAAATACAGAAGAAAAATTACATATGAAGATTGCGAACATTCATTTGTGACATATTTATTTATCAATATCATTTTAGCAAAAAAAAATTAGACCAATAATTTGTTCTAGAAGTGTCAAATTAGCATGACTATTAAAACTAACCTTAATGTTTTAGTTTTATTTGCATTCGAATTAATAAAATCTAAAGGATTAGCATTAGTTTTAATTCTAATACATATGCTATCTGTGACTACATATCTAAGAGTTCATGTTTGAAAGTTTTCGTTAACAGGACAAAAATTTTTTATACCTGAAAATTATGGTTCTTGACATAAGAATAGAATTATTCTGTTTTTGGAAACTTCTGAGTTATGAGTGTCTGAAGTCTAATGTTCAGTAATCTATATATTAGAATTATAAATAATTTTTAGTATAATACTAATAGTTTAATATTAATTAGTTCTCATGTTTAAAGCATAAAAATTAGTAAAAATAAATGCTAATTCAAATTCTATTATGGCACATCTATTTCTTTCAGACACAAGAACTATTCATTATTTATACAATATTGATTTGTGTTCATTTGTCCGTAATACTTTATGTTAATATATTTTTATAAATGAAACTAGAATTATTTAAGCCACAAATTATAGGATTATAAAGTATTCTCTCTAGTTTAAGACATTGTGATTAGTAATCAATGAAAAACTTCACCGAAATTCAAATTATTTTTTATATTATTATCAGTATGACATTTATTTAAGATTTGTTAGCATACTTTGTCCTTTACTATTGCTAGTGAATTTTAATAAAAAGTATACTTAATAAATATCAATTTATGATTTGTTGTTTATTAACATAGCCAATAAATAATACATTCATAATATTTTTTTTTTTTATAAAAATTATATTTTTCTGCTTTATAATACAGAGAATACGTTTACATATACACTTTTATTAGCATCTGTCGATAAATTTATCAAAATCCGTGTATGAAAGATTCATCAGATTCATATTTTTAGTTTATTTTTTCTAAATTAACTGTGTCAAAGGATTGCATAATAAATATATATGGCAAAGCTTACAAAAACAAAAGAATGTGAAACATTTTCAAGTTTTATAGTCATCCATTGAATCCTACATATAATCATTTCTAGTACTTAAAAATTTGTATCTATAATAAATTGATTTATTAATGATGGAAAAAAAGGCATAATTCAAATATTAAGTTCATATTTAAGCACATGTGAGTTCATCATTGCTAATACCACTTGAACATGAACTTGCATCCCATGCATATTTCACCTTGCTACCTTTAAGAACTTTTCCACAACCAGTAAGTGCATAAGATTCTACCAGAGCTTTACATGCTTGTTCACAATTGACCATAGATGCATCCTGGCATGAGCAAAATTTACATGATGATACATCCCATTTATGAAATGGAAAATGAACTGTATTTGAAACAGCTCGGCATTTACAACTATATCAAATAATTTGATTTTATTTGTAAATATGTTCTGTGTTTCAAAAATTGATTTTTACTTACTGGCGATTGAATATATTACCATTAACAGTAATCAAGAATGTAAGTAGAGCAAGAAGAAACAGCTTCATAGTAGACTTTGGTAATAAAAAAATATATAAAATGTGCAGTTACTATTGCATTTATATACTGTACACTCTACTTGATTCATGGTAATTTGATTTTTTTTTCTCTTTTTATCGTATTACAAACGACTGATATATTCATTTGCAGGTATGAATCGTCATGATGCCATATCAGTAAAAGTGATGATTGTTGATCATCGAGATTAAGCAAGCAGAAAAAAAAAAAGAAAATTCGAGAAAATGTCAATATGAATCAGACACAAACACATCGGTACAAAACCAAGGTTGATATGTAAATGTAAAGTGTGGGATGATATACGAAAGTGTTTCTTTCAATTCTGGACATGTAGTCAGCGACAATCAAGTCGACACCAATGCATGTAAAATAAGCAATAAAACTCACAGTTCTTAACAAGAATAACAAATCCAATATATGATTGAAATTTTTTACGGCAAATAGTTTATTGTAAGCATAAATATTTAAACACGCAAGAAATATTTTCTTGCAATTATAATTCTGAAAAAGAAAAGAAAAAAGAAAGTTTTTTTTTAATTTTATTACGGAAACCATATTCAGAAAACTAATGATAGAAAGTTTTAATAATTGTTTCTATAAATTGAAGATTTTAATCGATCATTAAACCTAGTAGATCTGAATAAATTCTCAAATTATAAATAGCAGTACATGTATGCTTCCATTTACTTCGATTAGCATAAACAATATCTGATTATAGTGTTTGAATTTGATTATTCTTTCAGTCTAATGCTTCCTTAATTAATCGAGTTTTTTTTTCCTTAATAATAGAAGTTGTTTATGATGTCTTTCTAGTATTCATTCTTTCGTTCATGTCAAACTACAACAATGACAGAAATGAATTTCTTATAAGAATTCCTATCGTATATTTTGTAATTCACTATATGAAATTATTTCTCTGTCAATATTTCTCTAGTATAAAATCATCTTCACTAATTAAGATGAAAAGAAATTATTCATTAAACATCTCATTCACGTCATGTCTTCATTGGATTAAAAACTTGTATGAAAAATATGACATTATGGTACATTTGTCTTTGCATCGAAGCCATTAAAGACATATAAGTTCGTACATAATTTATACATTTAAGAACAATTATGAACAAATAATTAAGTAATTAAAAAGAAAAAAAAAAAGTAAATATTCATAAATTTTTATTTCTAAAAATGTTTCATCCTAAATTGCATTTAATATAAGAACAAAAAAGGCAAGAAGACAGCACTCAATATAATGGACGGCAGCAATGGAATTAATAGAATCTAAAATGAAAGAATAATTTTCTTTTTCTAAATTTGATTTAATGGAATATAATTATAATATTTACTATGAAATAGCTCATGTTCATATTCAATTGATGGTAAGTGCCTGGCAACATAAACTTTTGATGAACAAAATGATTTATAAGAATAATCACGTTTATCATTTTTATTCATTGATAAACGATCATTATGATTATTATTAATAAATGATGATGAACAATCAACATCATGTTGAAATTCATTTTTATCATCATTATGTAAAATTCTACATTGAATTTGAAATGGAATCGGTTCTTTAAGTATATGATAAAGATAAAATGAAAAATGAAATATTGATAATGAAGAAGAATTTATTGGAACATGAATCACAGTTGGATCAATTGAACAACTAAAACAAATGAAAATTTAACTTTTTCTTTTTTTGTCTTCTATTTTAATTTTTACCCTTGATAAATCAACCGTCTTGATTGTACATAATTTGTATAAGGAGAAAGTGCTTTTAAATCACATGAATCAATAAAAGATTTTGATGATATAAATGATAAATCATCAAGTGTTATATTAATAAAAGAATAAAGAGATATAAAACAAGCTTCAGGACAAAGATATGAGCGATTATGAAATGTCCATGTTAAAGTAATTCTTAAAAACATTAACAATATATATATTTTTTTTTAAAGTTGATATTTATGTAGTTTTATTTTTAGTTACCTATATGCTGACATAATTTGTTGTTCATTATTAGAAATTTCATAATGATCAGAATTTGTTAATAATGTATTTCTACTATCTGAAGATGTTGGTTTAGTTGATGTTTGATGAAACAAACGTATTTGATTTATAGTAGATACACAAACAAAAAAACGTGCATATTGTTTGGTAGTATTGTTAGTTTTATGTACATTTTTCCAATGAATTTTACCAATAATTGAATCATTTGTTAGTATCTATATATTTAAAAAGAAAATTAAAAAAAAAAAGAGTCTTTTTAATCATCTGGTATGAGATTTAAATAGCAAACTTCAGATATTCATTTCAATGGTGAATCTATCTATGATGATTGATGATTTATAGAAGATAGTATTGTGCTCTTTTTTAACAATAGATCTATCGAATCTATTATTGTTTCTGAGTTAAAAGTTCGACAAACAGCTCAATGATGATTCTATATTATTTTAGTATTTGTTGTGTCTGGTTGAATCGTATGTCTCAAAATACAATCAATCGAAGCTATAAATTTTATCGAAAAAACTTCAATTTGCTACGCCAAGAATCTTTTCTGATTATTTGAGAAGTCGATCGACATACAATCAAGTACTTTTGTCACAAAAGCTAATTTTAATATAGACTCTTTAGATTTAAGATATAAAGGTGTCTTAAGTCCTTCTCAAAATTTCTGTCTTAATTTGCAGTCATGAAGTCTCATAAAAGATGTTAGAAACGGTCAGCTTCAATGATAAAACTTCATCATGAAGTATTGTAGTTAAATTCATATCTAAAACAATCAAGTATTTAAAAGTATTAAATTACATTGTGCTAAACATCTAACTCGCTTATCTATTTTATCTTCGGATTAGGATAGAAAAAATTTTCTAAGCAATTAAAATACCTTCCTTGTTTATTATTTTAAAGAGGCTTTAAATAATCTGTCTTGTTGTTTTAATTAACGAAAAATGCAATTATACTAAGTCTCTTTTTTTTTCCTTGAAATTTCATTTTCTATTTTGATCAAATTTGACTTCAATGAAAATTTCTTTCAAATTAAAAAGTAAATATTTAGACATCTTTTTTTTTTCTATTCAATACCAATGAACAATTATTAATATGTGTAATAAATTGTGCATGTGTTTCATTTGACCAACATGCTTTACAATTACGATCACCAAGTAGAACATTATTTGGATCAATACCATTCAATTGTATGATTACAGATAATTGATCACTTGGACAATGAATTGTATTTATTTTTATACCTAAAATAAATTAAATATACAAAATAGAAAACATTCGAGAAAAAATTTTCAAATAAACCTTTATTATCTCTTCGACAAAGAATTTCATAATAATCAACAAATATATTATGTCTCATAACTGATGGATAATCATTTAATGAAACATTTGCTCGTACGCATAGACCATATCCATTTCTATGCCAATATTCAAATGAACGACATTTTTGAGAATCGAGTCTTAGACAACGATCGAAACAATCGAAGTCCGATATCCAACGATCATGTAGATCATTATAACCATGTAATGCTGTATTACTACGTTTTTCATAGAAACAATCTTCAATAAAAGATAAATAGAAGATAAATTTAGAACAAAAAAAAAACAAGGAATGATCTATTTACTTTCCAGATAATTCAATGCCATAAGTTTGGTTTTCAATTGAAAAATTATAAATATGAGCATCACCCACAGGCGGCAGCTCATGGTAAATAATCATTTTTATGATAAAATGGCTTCATCTAGTATTAGCAACAACATATTATAGTTGTTGTTGAATTAGCCATAGAAATTTATCTGTAAATGACAAGTTTTAATTAACATTTTTTTCCCTTTACCTTTTGGCTATGTCTTATATCAATCAGTATTAATGTATCTATGCATGTCAGTGAGAAGATAATGAACTGACTTTGCCTTACAACTTGTTGTTGTCATCTTGTGCAGATTTTTCAATTATTCTTCTACTGCTTTCCCCTTTTTTTTCTTCTTCGAGTGGTATATGTTCGCGCATGCGAAAGAAACAATTCTTTCTCGTTTCTTTTTTTTTTCAAAGGAAATACTAATTTCTCTAGTCTAGTGATGAAGTAGAAAATCAACTAACGATGTTCGTCAATGTTAATAAGCAATTCTCCACACCTGCTTCACGCTTCCTTCAGAAATACAACAGTTTTAAAACCATTTGATAGAGTGGAGAATTAAATGTATGAATTAAAAAGTCATCGACCCTGGTTCGTTCACATTTAATTAAAACAACAGTCGAATACAAAAAAAAAGAAGCCTTTCGTTCTATTCAAACAGAGCGACAGTTGTATCCAAGTTCCCGAAAGCCTAATGAATGTCACACGACGTTAGATTCTGACTTCGCTTGTCAACACTAAACGAATTACACTTTATAACTGACAGAGAAGAGACATACGTATATATATAAATACATGTTAATGTCTTTGGCGCATCGCTAAAGAATGTTCTGCACTTCTCTATTTTTTTGTTGTTCAAACAATGATGTTTACAGATCGATTATAGAACAACCAATACAATGGTTACGACTGAATAGAATATTTTTTTAAATTTTTTCTTTAATATCAATAATAGATATTTCGACAGTCTCTCAAACATTCTTCAGAAGAATAGCATAAGAGTTTTCTTCTATAATATTCAATTCAAGCAGAAAAAGACATGATTTCAATAGTTTTCATTGATCAATAATCAATTTTTAAAAAGAACATTTTTGATACCTACTTCAATCATTTTACATATTGTTGTCATTAAACAAACTGCAATATGGTTTATAGATGTTGACAAAAACTCGATTCTCCTCTTCTCTACATCGATCGTTTAATAAAAAAATAATAACATACAGCTTCTTTTTTTTTCTTTTCTCTTTACTGAACAGAATGAACGAGAGAATGAAACAGGATATAAAATATTATGATAGTAATAGTATATGAAGCAAACACGCCCACATATAATGCAAAAAAAAAAGGAAAATTTCGCCTGTCGTATGTTTATTTTAAGGTAATGAGCAGTACACCATACTTTATTATGTCCGTTTTTTTAATATGTAAGAACGGTGAAATCGAATCACAAATTATGATGGTTCTAATGCAGAAAAAAAAAACGAGAGAAAAGTCAATCGGAGTTGTCGTTTATCGGAGAAATGCTTTTTTTAATTCTATTGACAACATTGCGTGTGTATGGGTATTGTCACGCAATGTGTATCTTATAGCATAAACGTTAGACTGATTTACAAAGTAAAGAAAGACATGGTTGCTATGGAAAAGAAAAATCTTTTTCAAACACTTAAACGATAAGACCACATGATATTTATAGTTAATATAAAAAAAGTAACAAAATTTTATTATATAAAGTATTTTTTTTTTTGGTGTATGAATAATATAGTAGACAATGTTTTGTATTAGAAAAGTTTTCCAACAGGAAAAGATATGAGATAAAAACATCCAAAAAAAAAACACAAAAATAATTACTCAACATGTAAAAATCTTCTTCATTGATTTCAATATTTATGATTTTTGTTAAGCACTGTAAGAGGTAGACTGAAATAACTATTGTCGAATATAAATCAACATTTTAATTGATAAAATGAATATATACTTACTGATAGAAGAAGTAGTTGCGTGATGAAAGAAAATGATTTATATGTGAACTTGGCTTTGAGATATAGTGTAAACAACAATTTATTTGATACAATTAAATGAGAAAATGTAAATGTATGCGCATATTATTAATATATGTGGTTCGGAAACCTGACTGTTAATTAAATGGTGTCTCACAGGCATATATTATTAATATATGCCTGTTT